ATTCTGACAGTTTGTGGTTGCTCTTTGATGTCTAAAGACTTTGCCAGGTTTCTTACTTCCTGGAGAAGTCCTGCTCTTCCCAAATGAGGTGGTGGGATCTGAAAAGCTTTTCCCAGATACCTGCCCTTTTTTAGGGCTTTGTATAATGGAACTTTTAAGTTTTTAAATCAAGATACTGAAGAGGGGGCAGGGAGAACTTGAACATGACTACTCTTAGCAAACACTGTCTGACAACCCCCAGAAGAAGTGGTTAGCTACCCTGTAGTCAGGTGCACTGCATGTGTGATTCTCCCACCTCCTGCCCCAGTACACATTCAAAGGTTTGTGTTGCAACATAGCTTATCTCTAAAAGTCATTAATTCTGAGGCAAGCTCTTCCAACAAGTTAAGACTCAAGTCGTGAGAAAACCTCCCCTTGTGGAAAATCTGTAATGAGTTGTCTTGGGAGATGGAGAAAGGGGTTTGGGGAAGGAAGAAACCTTTTCAAGTAAGAAAACATTAGGAAGAAATTGTGGCAGGGTTGCCATTCTTGAGGCCTGTGATAGTGTAATCCTGTTCATACAAACAATGGCAGTCTGGGAATTAGTTTTACATTAGTTTCCTCCTGTGGCTCAGAAGTGCTATTTGATGTGAAATTTGTCAAGCAGCAGGGGAAAAATCGCAGTGACTGGGGAAGTACAGACTAACCAATGTTCTGTAAGGCTAGATGATGTTCACATAGGAAAGGGTGAACTGTTTTGTGCTCTGAATCCCTTTTCGAGCATAGCAGTTGAAGTGGAAAGAGAAGAACAGTCATAAAGATCTTGTTCTATTATGAAACTGCAAGAGGCTTTGGGCACAGGAAAGGGCTAGCTTATATTGAATTTTAAACTGAAATTGCCACTTCTGACTGCTTGGCTTGGTGCTTATTGTAAAGGGCCTTTCAGAAGGTTGGAGTCAAGGCAGCTCTGCACACTAGCTCTGGAAACAGTTTCAAGTTAGTATGAAAGGTCCTTACTATGTTTTCAGATGTTTGTGTGTATCTACATTGCAGATTCCAGTGTTACCACTGCTCTAAACAGTGATCACTTGATGGCTGCTCACTGGCAACTCTGTGCCTGTGGCAGCAGTGGATTGTGCTCCACAACTGCTTTGCTGTTCCCATGTTGTACATGAACATGGAAGCTTCAGATTCCATGATGGTCGGTCTGGAATTGTTTTGGCCAGTGCCAAATTTACGTATAAGTTTTAAAGCAAATTTATGCAAAAGCCTGACAAGAAAATATTCCCAAATGAATACAGTGAAGTCACAAGTAGAATTAAGATGGTTTGGTTGTAATAGAAGCAGTGGAGGGAACATAAAAATGCTTTCCACTCATTTAGGCTTTTGAAACTGAAACTGTTGAAGCTTGATAAGAAAACACTAATGGCTGCAAACTGTCAGGATTTCACTGCCCAGCCAGGCCTCTACTTGTGTCAGAAATTCCCTTAATTCTCCCCACATTCAGGAGGCAGCATGGCCCCGGTGTTGCACCTGCCTTTTTGTAAAAGGACTCTTTAAAACTTTAATAACCTCTTTTCTTTTTATATTGCTTTTGTAAGTTTTTTTGCAGCTGATCTTTCTATTGTACCACTGAAAATACAGCTGCTGAGATGAGCTGTGACAAAGATCTTGGTGGGGTTTTTTCCTTTAATTCTGTTAGAGTGTGACGTGGATAGTTTAATTTTTTCCCCTCCACTGATGCTATTTAAATTATGCTGTGGTGGGTGCTTTGAAGCTCCCAGCAGAGCCTGTAGTGGTGGGGTCTTTGTCTGCACTTAATAGCTTCCATTTGGTCTATTGTACTTTTTTCATCTTGTAGCAGGTAAGTGCCATTTAAAATCCACGTGTGGTACTTCTGTGTCTTGACAAATGATTCAGACTATTTTTTGTTGTTACTATCATAGTGAATGTTACCAGAGTGAGTGATGCTGGTAGTCTTGCAAAACTTGTGTTTAAAAGAAGCCATCAACAGAAAACTGGCATCTTTGCCTTTCTTTTCTGTGGGTAGTACAGGTATGGAAAGGAGCGTATGAAAGAGAGCTGAGTAGCTGATCCATATGCTACTCCAGAGGGTTTCATTCTGTGGTTGGATTATGTGCTCCCAGTTTCATTCATGAAATGGATTCAAGTTCTGAATTACTGCTCTCTAAGAAGCAGAGAAAAGCCTGTGTTTTGGTTTCTTTGGGTTTTTTTCCCTGTATGCCATAGCCAACAAGTAGTATTAATTTCAGATTTGAATTTAGATGAAATTAATCTTGGAAACAAACTGTTTTGAGAACCATCTGGATTGTGAGAATCTTCTGAAAAGCACAAAATAACTTCTTGGTATTTGAGGAATATCGGAACTGTAAGCAGTTAGGAATGTTCTTTAAATATGTACAGATTGTCTCTTCATTTCACCTTCTTCTCTCATCCCCATTCATTCTCCCTCCTCTACCCCCAGTTAGTACTGACCACAAAGTATCTGCTTTTAGATTAAGATACGACTAGAACTGGAATGATGTTAAACAGTGCTTGGCCAGTGTGGACAGAACACCGTCAGTCTGTCAGCTTTACCCAGAGTAGAAATCTAATTGCGTAAGCATCTATTCAAAAGACATTTCAAAACCATGGTCTTGATGTTCTTTGTCCTGATAAGATTTTCAGGATGTGGCAGAGAGATCCTAGTTAAATACCCGTGGCTGGGTTTGACTGGCAGTGCTGTGGTTCCCTCCACTGGTGGACAGACAGGAATAGGAGGACAGCAGGAAATCCTCTGTGGAGGTGTGCTATTCAGACGTGCACCAGGCTGAAATGATGTAGTGTTAGAGAGAGATCCCCTCCCTTGGTGGGCTGCTGTTTTTTGGTAAAATTTGGAATTCCTGGTGTTATTTTCTTACCTAAATGCTTACAGAATTGGATCATTTACATGAAATCTCAATAAATGAAATGCAGATGTGGCTGCAGCTGTCACACAGTTTATGGGTTGAACACTTCTCTAGTAGAGGTGATAGAACACTATTTTCTCTTGGAGTCCTGCTCCAGTACAGGGTGTTAATTGAAAGTCCTTTCCACCAAAATCATGGCATGAAGATTTCTATAGTCTCTGTGCTACCAGGCTCTGATAATTTCAAATACCTTAGTTTTGATGTAACATATGCTGTATATTCTAATCCTAATTGTGCTTTACTTAATTAAAATCTATAAATCGTTTTGGCAAGAACATTCTAGAACATAATTGAACAACCTGGTATAATAGAGAAAAAGCGCCACTGAAAAGGATGATGCAGTTTTGAAATGCAGCATTCACTCATTTGTAGTAAGCTGTCCACCTCTGGAGAGCGCAGCCAGCTGTGCTTCCTGAGTCTGCTGGCTTTATATATCTCAAGTTATGATCCCTGTTAGGACAACATAGAGTTCTAATTACAGGCATTTGTCTACAAGGTAGGAGAATTGTAATGGATTCCTCCATAGACGATCACACTGAGTGTGTTTACTGATGTGTCTGTGAATTTGTAGCATCCTTTAGGAGGAAGAAATGCTTTTTTGCTTCATTTGTAATGGATGAATTATAACCACATCAGCTTGCATTCGTTAGCTCCTGGAGCTCTTTCTGAAACCTTACTGTCCTTTTCACTCCCAAATTTAAGTGAACTTCTGCACAGTCAGGTGTTAGATTGAGGAGGAATGGACGTCATTAACTGCCATCTGTACACCAGTACTGTAATGAGGGGTTGCATGTTTCTGTAATGGGGTCCTCACATACTGCAAAGCAGACTCAGTCTTTCACAGGAGAAGGAGATGTGGTGCCTTGAGTGAGTGTGTGATGTTAAACAGCTTCTCAGTACCAGTGTTAATTAGGCAATAATGTCAGAAGAGAGAGCTCTGCAGGGGAGCAGCATCCAACTGTTCCGTAAATGCCAAGACAGAGCTAAATGTTTAACCTTCACCTTGACATTTAGATTTTGGAGCAGGAGACATTTATCCTATGGTAATGTTCCATTCCACTGGCTTTTTATCTGTTGTACTTCTTGGTTAAAATATAAAATAACTGACGGAGACTGGGAGCGCATAGAGGGGGACTGGTACTATGGAGCTCTTGAAAAGCTGCACTCTGCTTGGCACAAAGCTTATCGGGGTTTTGGTCAGAGTTTCTTTTTCTCAAGGTTTTTTGATTTTCAGACATAACTCACTCTAGGAAATAGCGATGAATATTCCTTAACTGAATGTGTCTGGCCCAGCAGTCCCTATCTTATGCAATTAGATTATATTCTCTGACAATCCTTGGCATTAAACCTTTACAGCCAGATTTCACACCATCCATTCTGCTAGGAGAGCTGAGGTTTTATTAAGCTGTGAGTGGGCATGAGTCCTGTTTCCAGCTTTGCCACTAACATAGTGAGACACAGCAAGCCAGGTTTTCTGTAGATGCATAATTTTTCCTCATCTAATAAAATGATGGTAAGACCCTCCCCTACCTCAGAGGGACATTGAAGCGTCATTTGTTTAATAATAGTGCAGGTCTTTGGATTTCTATAATATATCCAGAGGATAGTAAATATGATTTCTGATCTTGTTTAAACTGACATTCTGGGATCAAGCAGTTTTCTTTAGCATCAAGCTTGGTTTTATTTGTATGTCTAACTTTTAAGGCTCAGCCTTATGGATAAAATAATTAGTTAATGCAGTAACCATATTAGCTCTTGATTAAAGTGTTTTTTCTTTTATCAGTGCATTAAATGGAAATGGAACACTAATTTTTAATAAAGTGTTATATTTTGTCTTCTGTCATTTTTTTTTTCAGCATCAAAACTTTTTATTTGTCTTGTTGGTCTCTGCACTGTTGTTCTGCATTTGAGTTGTGATCCTCACCATAAATTTAGGATTCCTGAACCACGGAATTCCTGCATCAGCAAATGGGTTTTGTGTTAGACGGAGCTGTTGCTGTGTTTCACCCATGCCTTGCAAGTGCTGGCTGTGTGTAGGAGGTGTCAGTGTACTTACAGGTGCTCTTTAGACAGCTGGCTTTGATTTTTCTCTGGGCTTTCCTTTAATTGTAGAACAATTCAGTGGCTGCAGTGGCTTTTCATGTTCATGGAGATAACTTCATTTCCTAGTAAGAATCACAGAGCAGTTTGATGTTGCATTAAGTCTACACACTATATTATCACAAAATTAACTCACGTGTATTTTGAAATCTTTAACATTGACTGATAGAGGAGGCCTGGAGGGAATTAGATCCAGAGGTTCGGTGTGTGTTCTGCAGTAGGTGTGCCATTGAGGTACCCAAGATAACCTGTCTGTTCTGTGTAGCTGTTCCCTTAGCTGCTGTCACCCTGCCTTTTGAGCTAAGCCACAGGGGTTTTTATTGTGAGCAGCAACTGCAAAAACTATTCTGAAGAGTGCTGATTGTCTTTGAAGAAGAAACCTCCTGTGTCACGGTGGTTTCCAGCGCATGCTGGCTGTGCTCTCACTTGTGCTGTTGGGAATTGGTTTACCTGCAAGGTGGGTGCTCCTACCTGACTTTGGGCTGGTGAGAGCTGGTGGAAGCAGCCACTGTGGTGGGACTTTGGGTTTTTGTGACTGGGTGACAGGATTCAGCCTCTGTGCTGCCTCTCTAAGGAATGGAAACAGCTTTTCTCCTCGTTCCCCTCTTGTGCCTCTACTAGCAGAGGTCTGCCTTGGCCTTGGTGCTGCCCAGCTCCTCCTGCCAGCCCCTTTCTGCATCGTTCCCTTGGGAGCTCTCCCTTTGCCTGGGCATTCCAATGGTGCCTTTTCCTTTGCAGGCACAGCTCAGGGAGGGTTTGCAGCAGTAGCTGGAGGGCTCTCTGGTTTAGTGAGTATCCCGAATACCTGGGCCAAGGGAATGATTTTTGCCTACATCCTTATTTGCTTTGGAAGGAGGAGCTTGAGCACTTTTTGCCAGGATCGAAGGTGAACCAGAAGAGTCTGCTGCTTACTCTTTGAGTGGAAAACACGGGAAGATGCTCTAGATAAAGCACATTTAGGATGTCACTAACCTCATGCTTCAACCCCCTCCTTCCCTTCTGTAGCGAGGCCGGTGTGCCGCAGCCGTGCTCCGGTACTGATCCAATGGGCTCCCTGCATCGAGGCTCCTTCATAGCCGGGTTGGTACGGGAGGAGACCGGAGCCGCCTCATGGCCCGGCTGCTACCGGACGAGCGCGGGGTTCGGGCAGGCCCGGGGCCGCCTCATGGCCGCGCCTCTCCTCACCTCAGCGAGCTCCCGCCGGGGCTGGCCCCGCCCCCGCGCCGTTGCCACGGCAACCCCCAGAGGGGCGGGGGCGGCAGGTACGTTCCGCTCGTTGGCTCCGCCCTCCGGCTGACGTCACGGCAGTGGCGGAAGATGGCGGAGGGTCCGGTCCGCGCGGAGCAGCCGCAGCCAGGAGCGGCGGAGCCTTCAACCCGCGGGCAGCACTGAGCGCGGCCCCGCTCCCGCTCCGCCATGAGCTGCTCGGCGGACGCCGTGAAGGAGAAGCTGCTGTGGAACGTGAAGAAGGAGGTGAGGGGAGCGGGCGACCTCCTCTGTGGGGCGGCGGGGCTCCATGCACGGGTGGGCTCGGGGCCGCCCTGCGCGCCCTCCGGCCGGGCTGAGGCGGCAGCGGAGGGTCGAGCCGGCGGCGCGGTAGTGGCTCGGTGTCCCCTGTAGCAGCGGCGGCGGCCACGATTTGGAGCTCGCCTGGGGTACATGGGATAATGCTTGGGGCGGATCGGTGTGAACCGGCGGGGGGCGATGAAGGGAACCGGAGTTGTTGGGCTGCAGGTGTTGGACCCTTGAGTCCGGTGCAGTGCGCGGCCTCCCCGCGGCTGGGTGGGTAAAGAACGGCTCCGCTTTGCCCAGCCGCTGCCGTGCTCCGGGAGCGTGCTGGTTTCTCCCGGGGTGACCCGCGGGAAGCGCTGTTTGTCTGTGGGGTGCGCCCTGCGGCCCCCGGCTCCCTCAGCACCCGTTTGCTGAGGCGGGTCTGCAGCGGGCGAAGGCCCGGGTCCCCCCGCGGGCCGTGTCCCGTACTGCTCGTGTCTTACAAACTTCTCCGTAGCTGTGAGCTCAGGAGAGGGGGCAGGCCGGTGTAAGGCATCGTCCCGAGGGACCCTTGGGTGAGCCCTGGCAGCAGCGTGTGCCCCTGCGGTGCTGGGGCTGTGCTGAGCGGAGGAGGCTGCGTGGGTTCGGGTGGTTCTTCCACAGCTGTGTGACATTGGCGCAATCTGAGATCGATTTCAGATCAGCTCCCAAACACCTGGCGGGCCAATGGGGATGATGGCAAATCTGCCACACTTGTGTTTGGACGCGTACACAAGGACATGGTCCTGCTTGAGCGAGGCCATGGAGGTGCTGTAAGGGCCGAAGCAGTGCTGCTCTGGAGCCAGGCTGGGAGAGCTGGGCTGGGTCGGGTCAGCCTGGAGAAGAGAAGGCTCCTGAAGGGGAGACCTTAGAGCAGCTCCAGTGCCTAAAGGGGCTGCAGGAAACCTGGAGAGGGGCTTGGGACAGGCCAAGGGGAATGGCTTGAACCTGCCCGGGGGGAGACTGAGCTGAGCTCTTAGGCAGAAGCTCTTCCCTGTGAGGGTGCTGAGGCGCTGGCACAGGGTGCCCAGAGAAGCTGTGGCTGCCCCATCCCTGGCAGTGCTCAAGGCCAGGTTGGACACAGGGGCTTGGAGCAAGCTGCTCCAGTGGAAGGGGTCTCTGCCCAGGTTGGAACTGGGTGATCTTAAGGTCCCTTCCCACCCAACCCATTCCATTACTCTATAGTAGTCTGTAGTAGCTCTTCAGTCTGCAAAGAACAGTGCCCCTTCCCTGGGAGGATGCACTCTGCAGGACAGAGCTCCTGCTGCACTTTGTGTTTGGATGGAGTGGCTCTTGCTGTGGGGCAAGGTTCATGCAGAGAACACTGCCGGGATGCTCTTTGGGGTGCTATGGGGAGAGGTGTGGGTGCTGTGAGCACACCTTGGTCTGTGAGCGGGTTCCAGGTGGAGCTGCTGGCTGAGTGAGCCCTGCACGAGCCCCGTGTTTTGTGCTTTTGTGGCATTGGGAATGTATCTGCCTGTTCTTACACAGGAGCTCGGTGAAGATGTAATGTTTATCCATCACTGCAGTGAGATGTATTTTAAAAAGCTAACTATCCTCCTGCTCCTTCTGCTCCCCCAAGTCACAGCTGGGGAAATGAGAAGTAGCCAGAGAGCAGGACTTGTTAAAGCTCACGTGAAAAGTACTTGCTACAGCCAAGGAATCTGGTGCTTCTTAGTGTTGAAACCACAAAATACTAGCTGTTTGGCCAGTGTAGGTTGACTGGAAGAGGTGGAATGGGGTCAGCATGTGAAGAACCATCTGCAGAGCAGCAGGGCCTGATCCCAGAGTGACCCAGCAGCAGTGGGCTGCAGGGCACCCAGCGTGTGTTACCTGTTGCCTGCTCTCGCTCTCATGCTAAATGCTGCAGCTTAATGCAGCCACGAGCCTGCTTCTTCATTTAGAAGTCTTAGCTTAAAGGAGGCCCTTTGAGCCAAGCTGGTGTAAGGTTTGATTCGGGAGCGTGAGCACTTGCTCTCCTGGGTTAATGTTTAAATATATAAATAAATGGGAGAGATGTTTTCCAGCGCTGCAATCTTGTGCTAATGTATGAGATTGAAAGTGAAATGGATTTTTGTGATCCGAGCCAGCTCAAGCCAAGGAGAACAAGTGGCTTGTAATTAAAAAATATGAAGCTAATTTGTTTGTAGTCTCTAAAATGTTTTTAATTGGACTCGAGCTTTTAAATTACTTGGATAATGCTTGAAAGTGTTATTTGTACCTCCTGTGTCATCTGCAGTTCTGTTTTGATTTGGTTTTTTTCTCTTCTCCAAACCCTCAGAAATGCTCTTTTTCAGGGCTTATATTTCTTGGCTTCTGGGGAATTGCCCCGAGGTTTCCATCCTGAAACAGTCACGAGAGCTCTCTGACTGTGTGCCCCGTAAGGCAGCACAGATGTGTGGGAGTCCTTGCCTGCCCTGCTCGCATGGGGACAAATGGCATCAGGAGGCAGATTATACCTTTTGATGATGATCCATCAGTGGGAGCCAGGGAACGGGTGCAAACCACTGGTACACGAACCCCAGATCGTGCTGCCCTTAATGGCAGTAATTAACTTGTTCCCATAGAATTTTCAACCTCATGGCTTTATTCTGTGTGATTTTCACACAGCCATTTACACCTGGGCTTGTTTTGAAAGCTGGGCTAGCCTCATGTCCATTCTGGAAGTGATCATTCCCTTCCCTTGTCCTTTAAACCCAGGCTCTTCTGCCCATTGGATTATTTCCATGTAACTTCAGTGTCTAATGGAGCTCAGAGCAAGCGTATTCTGTGTGTTGTTTACACCAAGCCAATTAAAATCTGGTTGTCTTTGCAAAATGCTTGTCTCCAAAGTCACTTGGTGCAGAGTGGTTTTCTGTTTTATTTCATTTTGGTTTTCCCTCTCAGCAAAAGCTTTTTCTTTTTTCCTTTGGGAAAGTTTAATGTTGTTTGCTTTCTCTCAGATGGACTTTCCATTCCCACTGGTAGAGACCGTATTTTGCTGGCTGTAATAGAAAGGAGGACATGTAATGTGTCTTGAAAATTTGACTGTAGCAGCGTTTGTGCTGAGGCTGTTGTAAGTTCACATTTCAAACATTTCTGTCTCTCTGCAGGAAAAGCTGATGTGACAAACAGACTCATAACCAGGCTTTGCTCTGGCCCTTTCCTTCTACCAGCTGAAATGGAGGGGTTTTGCCATTTCCGGGTTTAAACCCTGCGTGCTTTCTAGCTGTGAAACAAGCAGGGTAACAATAACCAGAGCAGGTTCACCCTGAAAGATTTCAGAGCACTTCAGAAACACAACTGCTTAACTTAAAACTGAAATGCAACCGCTTTTGAGGAGAAATAGGGTACTTATTTAACAGCTTGTATGCACAGCACCCAGGCTTTCATCAGGAGTAACAGAGTGCGGCAGGAGCGATCAGTAGATGAGATGAACAGTAACTACACAAGCTAAAGAAGGCACAGACATAGGGTTTCCTCCTTTGAGGAGGAAATACTGTGGGGTTTAACTGTGGTTCTGGTTATGGCAGTATTTTATGAGTACCGCTCTTTGCTGCATTGTCCCCATGGTGCTTCCTCAGTGTCCATCGTGACGCATGGTTGGGGAAGGTGCTGTAGCCTGTGTCTGAACAAGGGGTCCTGGCTCGGAAGGTCTTTCCTAACCCTGATGGTTGCAGGGAATGGAAAAGGCAAGGTGTATTCCAGCCCTGTGCTTGTGAATACATTAGTATATGGTCAGTGTATGTCGTGTCTTGGTTGCCTTCATTTCGTTGAATTGAAGGCTGCTGCGGAATTGGGATTTTTTTCCATTTTGGAAGCATCTTTATAGCAACAATTTAAAAAATTTAAAGGCATTTATCTTGTGTTTTTCTTTGGTGAAACTGATTAAATAATTCACATGTTCTGCCCTGTCTCTGCCTGCTGCTGAAAGTTTTGGCTGCTGTGGGAGAAAGAGCAGTGAACCATTATGGCATTGTGCACAAGCTCATCAGCTTCTATTGTAGGAGCTTGCTCTGCTCTACCCGAATAATGCTACTGTAGGGGATTCATCACTCCTCAAATGCCAGGATCTTCACTTGGGTGGCAGAGCTTTCCCATCCTGTCTCCTTCCACCTGAGCAGGTTTTTCTTGAGTCACCTCGGTCCTGTGGGCAGCTCCATCCCTTGCAGAGGCAGCAGTTGGGAGGCTGGAGAGGTTTCCTTACCTGTGCAGGTGGAGGGGAGCATGGGACATGGGCTGTTGCTGTCTCTTTTAATGAGATCAATTTGCAGTTTGGTCAGGTCTGCTGGTATCTGCAAGTGGGTGTGTGTGGGCTTGTGCTCGGAAAGCTTCATTGACAAGCGCCTCTGCAGAGCACAGCGACACAACAGTAGCATTCCCCACCAAGAGCTGCACAGAATTACAAGGAAAATAAGTAACAAGCTTGTGTGCCCTTTCATAGGATCATAAAATCCCAGACTGCTTTGGGTTGGACAGGATCATCCAGCTCCAACCCCTGCCACGGGCAGGGACCCCTTCCACTGGAGCAGCTTGCTCCAAGCCCCTGTGTCCAACCTGGCCTTGAGCACTGCCAGGGATGGGGCAGCCACAGCT